ATCGAACCGAGATGGACATTACGGAAAATCAAAGTATGATTAAAAAATTTCATATTGTCATACCCCTAGTCATAGCAGAAGAACATGTCCCAATGTTGCATGTGCATCTACTTCGCATCATTAGATTGTGTTAGTTAAGAAATGCCTCAATGTATGAATCTTAGGAGTTTTTCAATTAATTGAAAGTGATGAAGATCTTATTGAATCATTTGATAAAACGAAGATCTTGTGAGTTTGATGAAGTCAAAGGTTATTTAAGGAACTTTTTGCTAACTATTTTAATCGATTAAAACTTGTTGTTATCAATTAAAATAACTTAGAAAGTTTTGTGAAAAGTTTTGAAGAAACTCATTCTGCAGGAGCTGCATAATCAAGCGAAGAAACTGCGCTTAAGCGGAAAACACATTAGATAGCGGTTAACGTGGAACCGCTATTATATGTTCACTTTTAAGAGCAGTTAAAATATTAACCGCTCTTAAAAGTGACACATATATGATATTAAAAGTGACACATATATGATAGTGGTTCCACTTTAACCGCTCTTAAAAGTGAACATATAATAGCGTTTCCATGTTAACCACTATCTAAAATGTACTTTTAATAGCGGTTAGGTCTAGAACCGCTATCTAATGTGTTTTTGGCTTAAGCGGAGTTTCTTCGCTTGAGCGAGAGAGAAATAATCGATTGTATATTCGATTATTTTAAAATTATGATCGATTAGTTCAAATCATAATCGATTATAAATTTCTTCGCTCAAGCGATGGATGTCTCGCTTGAGCGAGAATTGACCACGGTCCAACGCAGTTACCCAATCAATTCTCACTCGAGTGAAGTAATTTATCGCTTGAGCGAGAATTGACCACGGCTAAATGTCCAACGCAATTAGCCAGATAACGCAACTTTGGTCACCACATATTTTAATCACTTCTCGCTCAAGCAAAAATATCCGTCGCTTAAGCGAGAATTGACCGGAGATTACCCTTTGTTATAGATTCCTCGCTCAAGCGAACTGTTTCTTCGCTTGAGCGAGAATTGACCCGAGATTACCCCTTTGTTACATATTTCCTCGTTCAAAAAAAGGGTTTCTTCGCTTGAGCGAGAATTGATTACGCGAAATAATCGATCATATTATTAAATAATCGATTATTTTAATACGTAAACAGTGCTAGTTGTCTAAATAATATTTCAGATGTGATATTTTGAAAAATACTTTTAAAAGAGTATTATTTATGAAAAAAAAAGTCTAAATCATCGAAATCGTCTTGGAGGTTGTTGAAGAAATCGACGTCTGCGAGTTTGTGGTCAGCTGCTATGACGCCCTTAGCAAAGATCTCGAGAGAGTCTACATCGTCTACGTCCATCGCCATCGTCGATACCTGCTCGTCCATTTCTGTGTCTTCGGTGGAGGAGCAGAGTGCAGAATCATTCTTCTCTGTTACCATCTAATAAATTCTCAATCCCTTCCCTCCTAATTTTTCACATTTTTTCAATGTGTTCTCATTCCCACAAGACCCTTTCGAGGTTCCTCACCAACTTCACCTCCTTCCCCTTGAACCCCCAACATCTCCAACTCGCTCATAACATAACCCAAAACCTTCTCAACTCCACCCATTTCAAACCCCACTCTGCGATCCCCTGCATCGCGCCTCACGTCACTTACCATGTTCTCTCCGACCCCTCTCTCTCTCCTCACTCCTACGTATCCTTCTTCCACTTCCTTAAAACACAAAACCCCAAAAAACCAGACCTTAATGCCCACCTGATCCTCCTCTATAGACTCTTTTCAGCCCAAAAATTTGCATCAATGAGAACCCTTTTGAATTCCCTTGTCACTAACGTGGAAATCAAACACCCTGTTGCGGGTCTTGTTTCTTTAGTTGATGAATGTGAATGGGAAAGTAAAAGTGAAATTGAGTCCAATTTTGTTGAGAAACTGTGTGACATGTTGTTCAGGGTGTGTGCTGATAACAAGATGTTTAGAGAGGCTATTGGGGTGTTTGAATATGTAATGGCAAAGGGTTTGGTGATAGATGGTAGGTCTTGCTTTGTGCTTTTGCTTGCCTTGAAGAGATGTAATGATGTAGAGTTCTGTGTGAGGTTCTTTCGTCAGATGGTGGAGTCTGGCCGCGTTAATATCGGGGTTCAGTCTTTGACTCTTGTGGTTGATGTGCTGTCTAGGAGAGGGCAGGTCGAGAGGGCTAAGAAGTTGATGGAGGAGATGGCTGAGAAAGGCATTGTGAGGCCGACGGTTTTTACTTATAATACATTGTTGAATGCTTGTGTCGTGAGGAAGGATCGAAGGGGGGTGGATGAGATTCTGGGGTTGATGGAGAGCGAGGGAGTGCAGCCTTGTTTGACGACGTATACTATTTTGATTGAGGGATATGGGAATTCTGGGAGAATTGGGGAGGCTGAGAAGGTGTTTGAGGAAATGCGTGAGAGGAATGTGGAGATGGATGTCTATGTCTACACGTCAATGATAAGTTGGAACTGTAGGGCGCGAAATATTAAAAGGGCCTTGGCTTTGTTTGATGAGATGATTTGGAAAGGCATTGCTCCAAATACTCATACTTTCGGTGCGATGATTAGCGGTGTTTGCAAGGTGGGGCAAATGGAGGCCGCAGAAATCTTGTTGGATGAGATGCAGATTAAGGGGATTGATCTAAATGTGGTGATATTTAACACGATGATGGATGGGTATTGTAAAAGAGGGATGATGGATGAAGCTTTCAGACTGCAAGTTATCATGGAAAGAAAAGGGTTTGAAGCAGATGTGTTTACATACAACACACTTGCTAGTGGGCTATGTAAATTGCATAAGTATGAAGAAGCCAAGAGAACACTAAATTTGATGGTGGAGAAAGGAGTGGCTCCGAACGTTGTGACTTGCGCTACTTTTATTGAGATATATTGTAAGGAAGGAGGAAACTTTGCAGAAGCTGAGAGGTTCTTAGGGAATATGGATAAAAAGGGTGTGGTGCCTAATATTGTTGCATATAATACTCTAATAAATGCATATAGCAAGAAAGAAAAAGTAAAGCAAGCTCATGTGTTAAAATCTAAAATGATAAAGAAGGGGATAATGCCAGATGTATTTACATACACATCACTGATACATGGGGAATGTATAGTTGGCAAGGTAGATGAGGCTCTGAAGCTTTTCAATGAAATGTTGGTAAAGGGCATAAGAGGAAGCGTGAAGACATATACAGTAATTATTTGTGGTTTATCCAAGGAGGGGAGAGCAGATGAAGCTTTTAAGTTGTATGACGAGATGTTGAGAATGGGTCTAACACCTGATGATAGAGTTTTTGCTGCACTTGTTGGCAGCCTTCATAAACCCGGTTCTCATGTTGCTGTCAAACAAAATGAGTATGGTGAACCAAAAATAGACACGCCTGACGCCTCCAGCTGGTAATGGTTTGTCAATTTCACAAGGGAAGGTGGCTCATACATGATGATTTTGTCCTTGAAGCCCAACCAATAATTAGAGCTTGGAAACTGTTACAATGTACAAATATTCTAGTGTTGGGTAACATACAAACCTCGGAAGGAAAGGTGGCTCATACACGATGACACATCAGGTACTGTTGCAACCTATGAAACAATCCATCAGGATATATACAACGTGACAGAAGAGAAACGTGCAAGCCTAATTCTCCTTCCATTCCACAAAAAACTAAACTCAGAAGGTGTGTTGGAAACAACCAACGATGCATTAGGTGACATAAACAAGAATGTGTTGCAGGAACCACCTTGTTCTGTGGGGATCCTTGTGAACCGTGGACTCAGGCCATTGTCTAAAACAACCATGAACAACCAGGGTGTGACTTATACGTTTTGGGACAGGAGTGGCAACAAGTACACAATTTTCCAAAGGTTGTTGGAATGGTGTGACAACCCTGAACTTGGGGTCATGGGGGACATTGTAGCTTCAACCAGTTTTGGCACAAACTCCTCACTTCTTGTTGTGCAGCAATACACCATGGAAAGAAAGCCTAAATCTCATTGTCGCAGCAGAAAATGTCACTCCAAGAAAGATGATATGGACGTATTGTGAAGAAACAACAACATAACACCACGTTAACATCTAAAAAAAAAAAAAACCTTATCAGATAGTATAGTGTAGATTAGAGAAACATTGTGTATAGAAAGAGCAATTCAGTTTTGGAATTCCATGTTGTCTTTTCACAAAGCCATGCATGAACCTGCTAGTACATGATTTTCAATGGCTTAAATATAATACTCCTTTTTTTTCAATCCTTGTAAAATTATTTTTTAATGAGGTTTTATTTATAAAATTATTGTTAATGAGGTTTTTATTATTAATATCTTTAAATTATTGATGGCATTACTCATAAACTAAAAATAATTAATTACAAAAGTTAGATAATTACAAATCCATAAATATTTCAATCTCATATTGCAACTTTGGATTATAACAATAAATGAAAAATTCATAATTTGTGTTCTACTTCATCAAATAATTTAAGAATAAAGTTTTAAAAAGTCAATTTAAAACAATTTATATTTAAACTTAAATTAAAAAAAATTAAAATGACAGAAGTATACTAGATGATATTCCTGTTTTGATTTTTTTTTTTAATTACCTAACTTTTATGAATTGACCATATTATGGTAAGGATTTTAAATCTAATTACTATTTCTAAAACTAGATTAAATAAGATTTCTAATTACATAATGTATAAATATTGAATATTATTTTTTATTTTAAATAATAAAATTTTCTTTAGAGTAATTATCGATAATAAATGTACAAGTTTGGATTTATATTTCTGGTTCATTTGTTTTTAGTTTTGTTTGTATTTGTATGTGACATTTGAAGATGACAAAATATTTACTAATCATATACTATAGAAATTTTTTAAATAAACCCTTAATAAAAAACTGTTAAAGGTTTTAATGTATAATTTTTAAGTATATATAAATTATTCTTCTAAACAATTTTATGAGAAAATAAGTCATACATAATTGGTGTTAGAAAATAGTTATAATTTTTAAATACATTTTCATATATCAAGACTACTATGGTGGTAATTTTAATAAATGTAATATGATTCTAGAGTTTTAAATATTTTATTAAAAGTACTACAATATAAAAGTATTTATATTTAAATGTTACCATTTTTTTTAACATGACTACTATTTCTCCCACAGAAAAAACTATGATTATTAATTTCATTTTAAAAAATATTAATTTTATACTTTTAATATTTTTATTCGTTAATCAACAAAATAAATTATAATTTTTTATAATAATTATAAAATCATAACAATGAATTTAATTTTTATGATAAAAATTATAAATATATATTAAATTATTATATTTTAAATTTTAATTATTTATTTTAAAATAATTCAAAATAGTCCACTAATATAAAATACCTTATTTATAATCCGAGCTAATTCGATACAAATTTATTAGGTTAAATATATTTATCTATTATAACCATTTAAATAATTAAATAAATTTTTATTTTATTCATAATATATATATATATATATATATATATATATATATATAACAATGAATTAAAATATTATTTTATTACATATACTGTTATATAAAATTGATTTAAAAAATAACTCATGCATCAACAATAAAGACTCCAAATACTCCAAAACAGAGTAGATTAATTTTTTATTTGATAGTGAAGATTATTTTAATAATTTTTATTATTATTTGATAATATAAAAAATTATAGGATAGATCTATTAAATCCAATTAATAAATTTATCTGTTCATTTATTAAAACTAATCATACATTAAGTTTTATGGAGTGGGTAAGAAAAGCTCTTTACACATAGAAGATTTTGAACATGTTAAAAGCATTTAAAAAAAATTAATTATTTGATAATTAAAATAAGTTGATATATAAATTATTTTATATTTTTTAGTATATAATTTAAATAAATTCTTATTTTTAAGGTATGCATATATTTATGTAAGAAAAAACATGTAAATTAATTTTAGTGTATGAAAAAGCTTGTTTCTATTTGTTTTTTTTAAGGAGTAAGAAGAAGTTTTATCTACTTTATCTTTATTTATTTATTTATTTATTTGCGTATTTGAAAATCAATGGCGTAGAAACTTATGGGTGAAAAGAAATACAGTACACACGTAACAGTAGAGAAGTATCTTCATATGCATCTGAAAAATAAAGAAACCCAACATGTGAAGAATCAGAATAAAAAAATCATATTAATTATTATTATTATTATTATTAAAAAAAAATAAAAATTACCTTCTTTTGTCACTGTGTGTGGGTGTGGATCTGAAAGAAAGGAAGACAGTGAAGAGGGAGGGAGATTGCGGATCTGAATTGGTGTTAGGGTTTTGAAGGGTTTTTTCCTTTCTCTTCAATGGCGACGCCCTTTCCCATTCCTGTTACCGCAGCCCAGGTTCTTCTTATTCTCCTTCTTCTTCTTTCTCTTCTTCTTCTTCTTATTCACTTCATGTCGAATCACGTGTTTTGTGTTTTGTTCAGGTTGGAACGTACTTTGTGGGACAGTACTATCAGGTGCTTCAGAGCCAGCCGGAGTTTGTGCACCAGTTTTATTCCGATGCCAGCACCATGCTCCGAATCGACGGCAGCACCAGGGAAACCGCTGCCGCAATGCTTGTAATTACTGCTATCATTTTTGTTGTTCTGTTGACAGCGTTTTCGGTGGTTTTAGAATTGGTAGCTTTTGCTGTAGTGTTGAGTGAAAGGAGTAGTTTGTGAAATTGTGAGGGGGAAGAAGGGTTTTGTGGTTGAGGGATTGCAGTTTTGTTTGAGGGTATCGCTTGAATGGATAAAATAACAAGGATGAATTCTAAAATGTGTGGGAGACGATGTTATTTTAGTGTTTTAATCATGAGACCTATCACTTCAGTCGTGAAAGTAAGAAGATTCAAAATAAGTCTTTTTGCTGTGACTTAGTTCCAAAACTTAACTCTACTTATTAATTCTAGTGACAAATTGTACTTTCTGTGAACCTTTTTTTAACTCGATTACTTTTTAGAAACTAAAGTGAGAGACATTTCACATCTTTGAGGACCAAATTGGGTATTCACCCAACAAATAAACTGTGGACGAGAAGTTTGGTGAGTGCAATCCAGGTAAGAGATAAAAGCTGTTACCGTGGATGAGAAGAGGGAATTTGTGTGCCGTATTTGCGGCACATCTGTGAGAGAATTTTATAATATGCTACTGGTTAGTATATTGATGGCCAGCCGGGTGATTTTAGATTATGGTTCAATTTTTTCGAAATGGAAACTTTAAATTGGGTAAGCGTGGGTGTCAGATGGGGAATTTGTATTTAAACCTGATACAAAATAGTGATTGGGAATTTAATGCATGTGGGTAGGATTTATTTATTGGTTTCATTCTGGTAACAGCACAGTTACATTATTTCATATGATAAAAAAACTTGTGAAATTGCTTTAATGCCTGGCCTAGAATAATCTGCATATAGACTCGATTATGATAGCCATGCAATTAGATTCCTATAATGTCATTCATATGGATTAGTACAGTGTCGAATAGTTACCTGCTACAGGATTGGTTCTTTGCCAGTGTGCCAATGAAGAAAAATAAAATAAAAATACAGTAACAGGAATCTAGGGTAGCATTACGGGAAAAATGTTGGTTCATGAAATTAAACTAATAAAATTGATATGCATACGGCAAGCTCTTTTTGTGCTAATATTTGTGTACCCCACCTTTCTTTTTCATGTCATTTTTGTTTTATTTATCTCTGCTTTTTTCTCTATCATTGAATTCTGTGTAAATTTATTTGATATTTGTTTGTTGTTGTTGGTGGTGGTGACAAGGTTGCGCTAAGAGGTAAAAAATTGGAGTATGGGGATGGAGAAGTCGTAATAATTGGGGGTATGGTGTTGGACATTCATGCTACACCTTCATTGGGAGCAAAATCTGGAACCACTGTCCCTGGCAAGGTTGTTATCTATCTATATTTTATCTGAGAAGGAAAGAAGAAAAGAAACCTTCTAGGGTTCTGTTTGTATAGTTTGCCAAACACTTATAGTTTGCCAAACACTTTCAGAAAGTCAGAAGAAAAATATTTCAGTATTGTCTTTGTTTCAAATGCTGAAACCAGCAATATGGGTTTTGTTAGAAAAAGGCATTGAAGTGGTCTTAGTGACCATTGGCTCTAATGGAGTGTTTTTATGCAATAAAGAAGGGCCTAGCTACTTAAAAAAGCCTACAGAGAAAATAAATCGGAGTGGTTTTGGTGGACAATTATACAAGAGTTTCATGCAAAATTGCCCACCTAGTCCTTATTCTGGCTTTTCAAAACTTGATAAAAGCTCTCCTCTTTGTGCTGTGCATTTTCCATCTCTTCCTGCTTCAGTTGTGAGGCATACTGGTGCGGGTGATTGCTTAGTCGGTGGAACACTCACATCAATTTGTGCAGGATTAGATATTATGCAAAGTGTGTCAGTTGGCATTGCAGTGGCTAAAGCTGCAGTTGAGGCTGAGGCTAATGTCCCTAATTCTTTCAATTTATCAGCTATCGCAGGTAAAAGTTTTAGCTTTGTGTTTTAGGTATAGCCATGGTCATATGCATATCTAGTTGTTATTTTTGTTGCATGTTTGAAAGTTAAGTAGTGAATCGATTAGCATCCCTGATAGCAAATAATTCATTTTTGTTACTTTCAATTGCATTTCTGTTGGGAGATTGGCAGCCTACATGTTGACTTGAATTAGTGTATGAGAAATGCAAATTGATCTGAACCCTAATAAGAATTTATTTGAATTATGGATTAAGATGTCAATGCACAGCAAATCCTATGGTCTTATGTTGTACACTACTTATTCAATAGTTTTTCCTCTTCAATTATGGGTTAAGATTTTGTATGGTTTTGTTTATTGATTGTCGGGTGCTTCTACAACCATGATTATGCCAACCATGATTATGCCATCTTTTCAATGATGACCCTGTGTTTTTCTGCCTCGTGCTGTGCAGATGATGCAAAATCTGTATATTCCGGTGCCAAAGTTCTTTTCCACCAATCGATGTTGTAAATTTTGAACGAGGATGATGGTAGATAATCAGCTTGAGCTGCCATATACCAACCTCCTTTCTTCAGGAAAAAACAAACGGTAACATCATCCAAAGGCTTTTGGCACTGAAATATGAATTAATAACTATTTTCTGAAGTTTTATTAAACTTTTATATGTTGGGGTGTAATTGATAGACTTTTCTTTAACACTACTATTGTTAAAGAACGGAAAAGTAGAAGAATAATTAACCGAGAAAATGAGAGAATATATGTTTTATTCCTCAAAATAAAACAGAAAATACAGCAGGATGATGATTCAGTAGAGCAAGGTCCGCATAGATTATTATCTCCTGGCCGTATCATCAAGTAGTCAAAATCTAGACATTATTCAAGATCGGAGAAGAAAGTATAGATTAGAAATCGGTAGAGATTGTAACACAGATGGTAAGATTCTACAGAATTTATGAAAAATAGTTTGAAGTGGATAAGTATAAGCTTATCGTAGTTTGTTGAAAGACAAGATACAAACAAAATGAATGAAATTTCAAAGAAAAAGATGACATATATGCCTTAGGTAGACGTCTGTTATTAACAATAGATTGTTATTTTTAAGTCCCACATAGATTTTTTTGCACACTTTTGAGTGCCTTTTGGAGTGCTCAATATTTCTCTTTCTGATGTGTCTACCACTTCCTTTAGAGTGATTTTAACATTATTTTGAAAGAACAAAAGAAAACTATAGAATGTTCCCCATTGATCCCACCAATGATACACTTTAATTATGATTTCTTCGTTTTGTACCAGCTCATAGCAAAAGAGATAAATTTGAATATCTTTCAAAGTTAAAATCTGTTTATTGCATTTCTTTTTTAATTAAGATCTCGAATTTGAATTGTCATTAAAAAGGATAATTTACTAAATCTGACAAACTAAATTCATAGATATCATTTTAATATAATTTTTGACATATTTGCAGGATTATGAAAAATACACACCATTCATTATGAAAAGTCGATTTCTTAAACTAAAATTAGCTAGTCTATCCACGATTAAATTAATGTACACTATAAATGACTATAATATATATTTTATTTCTCTACACAAGAGAAGTTGAGTTTAGAGAAGTTATTTACGGTAATTAAAACGTTTTTTATTCCTTTAAAATTTAAAGTCAAATAGAGGATTAAATTAATTATGGTATAATGAATTTAAATCAATTGGAATATATTTAATAGGTATTGTTTCAAAGAACTCTTTTTAATACAATTTTTACATATTTTTTATAATTTTGTACCAGGATTCATATTAAAAAATATATTTTTATTTGTAATAATTCTACTAAAAAATTACATTAATTATGTTGTAAGAGTTAGCCAACTCATTAATACGACTATTTGTAATACGTAAGTAAAAATAATAATAATTTTTTAATACTTAATATCTTCACTTAAAAGAAAGACAATTAATAATGACAAGCTATAAAATTAATTATTTATTTAATTTTAAATTTATAGTTTCTATTTAATCCCTCCTAAAAATTAAATTGACTAATAATATAGTTGACTTAAAATATTGAGTTTGATAAAATTCACATTATATAGTTTTTCCTTTATTTCTAAACACATGTCATTCACTACACTTATTAATAAAATGTTAATTGTATTTTGTAAAATAATTTTATTAAATTTTGTTAATAATATCTTTACCATTTTAATCTTTTTTCCTGTGTGAAATTACTTATAATAACTTATTAAAAAAATTACAATAATTATAATTAAAAATATAAAAATATAATTATTAAAAAGATAATTAATACTTAAACTTAAATAACAAATATATGCATAAGACAACGATTACAAAGAAATAAAGAGAAATATATACTATTTTAGTTATTATTGTTGGATCTTTATTTTCCTACTCTTACCAAATAATAAAATTATTTTCAATTCACTCAACCTATTCACTCTCATCATTCAATGCAATACCCAATATTCAGTAATAAATATTTCTTTCTCTTAAAATATATAAAAATAATTTATATACATAATAATTATACTTTCAAAAAGTTATCATTCTTTTACTAATAATTTCGTTTGATTATGCAATATTTGTGATTAGAAAAATAAGAAGAATAATTATGAATATATTTATATTTTTTTTATGTTATTTATTGAAGTTGTTATTTTTATATAAATTATTTAATTTTCAGTCAAGAATATTTTTTATTTTTAAAAAATTATCTTTATTATATATATTATTTTTATTAATATAATATATTTTTTATTTTATACATTATAATTTAAATTATTATAGAGAAAATTAGAATATTATAAACAAAATCATAATAATAAATTTAAATTATTTAATTTAACACTTAATTTAAGATGAAAACTAAGTTGATAACTAAAAACAAACCAAGATATTTAAAAAAGTATGTTACTTTTTATTGTTTATTTTCTAATAATATATGAGAGAAAAAGAAATGAAAACATATAATTAAAATAATTATGTTAAGAAATTATTTTATTTAATAAAAAAATATTTATCCTTATGTTATAATTTGTATGAATAATTTTTTAAATACTTGTTTATTAAATTTAAATATTAATAAAAAGTTAAATTACTTTTCTATTATTATTTTGTAAAGTTTGATAAATAAAAAATGAAAATAATTATTTTACGACTTTTTTTAATTTATATATCATCATATATTATAAATTATTCTCGGGAACAATTTATATTTAATATTCCTGTATTAAATATAAACAATGAAATATAAATAGAAAGAGAATTATATATTAAATTTAATTTTTAATTATTATTTTATAATTTTGATAAATATATAAATTATCATAAACTTAAATTAAATAACTTAATATATTTAATATTATATTTCCTTCTTGAAAAAGGCACCTGCCATCTGCTTGCTTTAGTTCCTTCTTGGGATATATAAAGAATGCTCGTATTCTCATTAGATCTTCCAAATCCAGCACTTAGAGATAAAATTAATTAATACAACCCAATAAAGAATACTTCGAATACTCCCTGGTATATATTTTTTTATTTACCGCCTTTAAAGAAAACCAAAGAACCTTTTCTCAGGGGTAGTTTAGCTTCGTCATACAAAACCCATTATTCAAATGGAATAAAATTATGTTTGGTGAAATATAATTCCAATAAATCATTGATTCATTCTTAGACAGGAAAACCTGTACCGGTCTAACTCAATTAAACACATAATAACGGTGACTTGTAACATGAAATTAACCCGTGAGAGACTAACTTCAACAAATAATTTCTTGACATGACAAAACCTAATATAGATAGAGTTTAGATCATCACACAACGTTGAATTAACTACAGAATGATGCAGACACAGACACAAGAAAATCAAGATGAAGAAGAATCAGGATGCGACGTTTTTATTTTATTTGTCACCAAAACAGTGTGCGTATTCTCATCAGTTCTTCCCAGTCATGAGTATAATTTGCGTTCTAATTGCTTTAGAAACTAATTTATAAGAGGGAGAAGCTGTCAACTGGCAATAATATAAAATTTCAAAACATTATTAATTAATTTTCTTACAAATAACTTTCACTTTAACATACAACAACAGAAAACTTTGTCTTACTAAACGAATGCCTCGAAACAAATGGCTAGAAGCATCTTTCCCATCCCCACGTCTATGACAATGCCTCAGCTGAAACATTCATCGTTTGATTAACAAAACCATTGAAATCTCAACTCACCAAAATTCAATAACGAATACCCTTTACGTCTTTTCCCATTGACTCGCTTAAAAGAAAGCCAAATAACCTCAAATTATCAGTTCAGAACAACAATTGCATCACAATTTGTTATCGTGGAACTGCTCACAATAGCAACTATCCACAATTACAATAGGAATTTAAATACAAAACCACAATGCATTCGCAACGTAGTTCTAACAAAATCGCAAAAAACATCACTTTTGGCAAGAAAACTTATTCAAATTTCAATCCTCTTTTTCTAATATCAAAATGTTAATGGTTGAATGAGTACGACCTGTCAGATGTGGAAAGAACGCAGGAATGCGTTAGGAAGCTACATAATGCATTCATATTTTTGTAAAACGATGTACCAATATTTTTATGCTATGTACTAAGTTCACATCGCTACCACTGCAATCCACAATGTAGCAAAATAATACCCACAATCTAGAAACAACCTCTTCCGAGGTAAGACTAAACTTTATCATGCAAAAGCATTCAAACAGAACAACACTTAGAACAAAATTGACCTCGAATAACTAACGCTATCCCCTTAGACACAACGAACCAAACAAAAAAGAGCCGAGGTACAGCTAATAATCAAACACAAAACCCACAAGCACCGGAATAATAAATAAAAACATTATATCACAAAAATTCAAACAACCCATAAAAGAAATTGCAATACAAGAAATTGCAATACGGATGGTTCATCGCGAAATATCAATTCGTATTAACACGAAAATCCAGAAACTAAGTACAAACTGTTTTTTCTTTTTCTATTACTTTCGCCATCAAAATAGAAGAATACAGGAAAACGAAACCTAACCCGGAAATTATTCAACCCCAAATAATGATCAGTTGATATCAGCATCATCGAAATCGTCTTGGAAGTTGTTGAAGAAATCGGCGTCTGCGAGTTTGTGGTCAGCTGCTATGACGCCCTCAGCAAAGATCTCGAGAGAGTCTACATCGTCTACGTCCATCGCCATCGACGATACCTGCTCGTCCATTTCTCCGAATAGTTCCATTGCTCTCATCATATTTATCTCTCCACACTCTAAAAAATAGGACCGTGAAATTAGGGTTTTATACGAACTAAGCCACGATAACTTAAAACGTGTCGTTTTGTTCATCCGCGTTAATACGTGGAGCATTGGTTTGCCAAATTGCCATCTTAAATACTATTTTTTATTAATAGGAACAGGGTCATTTAATTTAATTATGAATTTGATTTTATTAAGATTTAAAATAAATATAATATAATATATCAATTTTATTATAATATATAGATAAATAATAGAATAAATATAAATATTATCATCATGTGTAACTATGAAACCATTATTAATGAAATATTTTTATCTTCACTGTATAAAAAAACTATATAATATTAACAAAATTGATTTGATTCAATTTTATCATTCATCAAGTATATAAAAAGTTCATTAAAAAAATAAATTATTTAACACAATTTCGTTTTCTAAAATTTTTAGAGGATTATTTTCTTTTTCACTAACTTTTTTTTATATTTATTATGACTTTATTTAAAATGATTTAAGTTTATGTACAAGGAGTAAGTTTTTTATTTGGTCTTATAATTATTTTTCTTTTTTTATAAATTATTATTTTAAGTGATTCTATATTAATGCTCTACATGTGTCACTTAAAATTTATAAAATAAATATTATTTATTTACAATAAAATTAGAGATTAAAGATAACGATTTAAAATTTTTGCTGTATGGACTAAAATCGAAGATCACATATTTGATACGGACGCAAAGAGTGATTTTTAATTTTATAGAATAAAAAACAAAAATTTTATAAGGACCGAAAATCAAACTAATTTACAATAACTATAAATATATTTAAACCAATTTTTCTCTTTTAGTTTTTTTTTATCACACTCTGTTAGTGAGAAACCGTTAAAAGGATCGAAAAACGAAGGAAAGAAAAAATCGAAGATCATATGATTGGTTAAAAACTGATAAAATTGGTAGAAGACACCTGGTAACCACAAAGATAAAAATACATCGAAAATCAAAATTGAGAATTGAAGAAACAAATTTCGATGTCTATTGTTGAAGAGAATCGAGAGATTAGAATAGTGCAAAGTTAAGAATAAAAGGGAATCAAAAGCAAAATTCAAAATACTCGATGTCTTAAATCGAAATCGAGGGAGCGGTGAACACACAGAGGGAACATGGGAAACGGTTTCTAAACCGTGACAGAGATCGAAGGTTAAGGGAGCAGTTCTCTTATACGTGAGAACGTGGAGTGCTGTTTTTAAACTATCAGACTAAAGGTACGTGCACGTAGGATCGTGGTGACAGTTTTGTTAACCGCTCTTAGGAGGTTATCTGAAGGGCACCCTATAAATAGAATGAAGCATGAAGAAGAAAGGGGAATTGGCAGAGAGAACAGAAATACTAGTGAAAAGTCTACCGGAAAACGACGAAATCATGAAGTTTCTGGCGATCTGGATTTCCATTTTCATTGATTGTCTTTACCGCTTTCTTTACTTTCCTTGGTAATTTACGTTCATGCAATTTACTTTGATGCAGTTTATGTTCATGCAATTTAAGTTTCTGTATTTCCAATTTGCAATAAAAAACATCGTAATTAAAATTTCCTGCCATTTAACGTTTATGCAATTTCGATTTCCTGTCATTTACCGTTTCTGCAATCTCGATTTCCTACTATTTACATTTCTGCAAATTCAATTCCTTGCCATTTATATTTAATGCAATTTGAGATTTCTGCATTTTACATTCCTTTGCAATTTAATATTCCGCACTGCTTTTCGATTTAACATTTTTACTGCTTTCTTTACTTCGAGTATTTTAAATACAAAATATCAAAAACAACATTTTCGATTGTTAGTCCGCACATTAGGTCGTGTTATTAGTATTTTAGACACTATGACTTTCGATTCTCATACATATTTCGATTGAAAATCGTTTGCTAGCCTAAGTAAAAAGAATCTACGTGGTTGGAATTTGGTTAGAACAAAATCCCTTAGAAATCGAAATCGATCAAAATTCCACCAGAAACAAATTGGCGTGCCAGGTAGGGGTGACTTGAGTCGAAAAAATTGGTTAGTTCGAAAGTGTATGAGATTAAGGAGTGGGCGAGTGATAAGAATGAGTCAAAATCCACCAAATAACCAGAGTAATAGTGAGGGTCTAAATGGTCTAAATAGTTCACATCCACCAAACACTGGGGGGCAAGGTCATAATGGGAATATGCCTGTAATATCGACGACAACCGCGAGTATGTCAATACCTGTGAGTAATGAACAAAGTTCAAGTACATTAGCAAATACTCAAGTAGGGTCTAGTACCGTGATACCAAACAATATGCAAACTATGGAAAACCCCATAACAACATATGCAGGGCCTTATATGAGCGTAAGGCCGCCTGGTTTTTCGCCTAATAATATGAATGGGGCTGGTACTTCTTCAATACAACGAAATTCGAGATTTAACCTAGGAATGCCTCAAAACTTAGGAACATTTCAAACTCTAGGTATGCCGCAAAATTTCAGAGTATCTCCAAATTTAGGAGCATCTCAAAATTTAGTGACCCCCCAGAATTCAGGGAGTGGGCAGAATTTAGGTACACAATAGACACCTCAAAATCTAGATCACAGAGCAAATCTGGATCATGGGAGATATACATTCGATAGAGATTATCATCGATCCAATTTTGAGACTATCGGAAACACTAGTATTGGAATCTCTAGTATCTCATTAGGAGTACTCAGACAACAAATGGATGAGAACAATTTTGAGATGGTGAATATGTTATCACAACAGTTGACTACAGTCTTAAATCCATTAGTTCAAAACACGACTACTAGTTTTGAGATATTAGCAGACCAAATGGCATGGATCGGGGATGCATTGGCAATACCTCGACAAACAAGAGTGAAAAATCATGCCAATCAGAATCCTAACCAGAACGCTAGTATCAATTCCCCTTATTTATTGAGGAGAAATCGAAACAATGATCAACATCAGAATATGGGGAATGAATATCAGCATGAGAGGAATGATATTTATGAAAATCCGAATGAGGGATTTCAAAATATGTATAATCAAAATAACATGCAGTATAACCACATGCTAGGTCAAAGGATGAATCCCCAAGGAGTGGAATTAAGACCACACAATCACCCGTACTTTGTTTCTCCTTTCCCAAATACAGTTCTCGAGACAGAATTACCTCGAGGATACAAAATACCCAAATTCACCAAATTTGCTGGAGAAATTGGTGAATCCACTATCGAGCATGTGGCGTGATATCAAATCGAATGTGCGGACTTAGCGATGAGTGAAGAATTAAAAATGAAATATTTTCCTAGTTCATTAACAAAGAATGCTTTCACTTGGTTTACTTCGTTGCCACCTAATTTGATATATAATTGGCTGCAATTAGAAAGAAATTTTCATGAACAATTCTTTAGAGGAGAGACTCAAGTAAGTCTTATTGACTTAATGAATATAAAGAGATACAATCATGAAAGCGTGGATGATTATTTGAATAGATTTAGGCAAATGAAGTCGAGATGTTTTACTCAAATTCCTGAATTCGAGTTAGTCAGACTGGCCTCTGCAGGTTTAGAATTCTCGATTAGGAAAAAGTTAGTTAATTTGCCATTGAATGACATGGCTCAGTTAGCTGATAAAGTGAGAAGAGTGGAACAAATCGAATATGAGAAACAAAGATACAAGAAATTTGAGAAACCCATGAAGAAAGAAAGGATAGCATATATAAATGACATATATGAGGAAGATTCCAGTACGGAAGGTATTAAAGAATCTGTCGATGAGAAAGTAAACATAGCAGAGCTCAAAGTAGGAGCTCCATACATTTGCAAATTGCTACAGAAAAATGAAGTAAAAGACAAAATGGCAAATCGCACATATACTTTTGATGTAACAAAGGCAGATAAAATTTTTGATATTTTATTGAAAGACAAACAGATTAAGTTGAGCGATGATCATAAACTGCCTTCTGCAGAGCAAAGGAATGGTCGAAAATATTGTAAATTTCATAATATTTATGGACATTGGACTAATAATTGTATACATTTCAGGAACACGATCCAAGACGCGATCGACCAAGGAAGACTGAAGTTTGAGGAGATGTCAATGAAAGTGGATACAAGTCCATTCGAGGTTCAAATAGGGTATATCGAATCCCAAACGGGCATGACTGAAGATGTCCGATTGACAAATTCGACCTTTGTAGGCATGGTTGATGTTACTGAAGACATTGATCCTAGGCATGTCAGAATGGACGTATCCGAAGAAGACATGGAATTCGACCTGAGTGAGTTCGAGAAAGAATTCGAGAGAGAGATCTATCCTCAATCAGGAGATTCCCTCGTCGAGTTTTTAAACAGAAAGAAAGAAAAGGATGAAGATGTATCGCTATGTCCACGATGCAGTGCGGTGTTCGACAAATCAGCTGCTAAAGCTTTCAGAGCGGAACAGATGAAGAAAATCGAGAATCAAAATAAAAGGGACAATGACAAAGTAGATCAATCAACCCAAGCAACGATAGGGGAAAGTCAATAGAAATCTGTCGGTTCTGGTGCTAGTAGGAATCAGAGACAGTGGGTTAGGAAAGAAATGTATCCTTCTCGAGGAGGAAGGGGCAGATTTCAAAGTAATGATGTCTTCGAGAGACTTTCATATGATGAAGGATCGAATACTGGATTCCCAACATTCCAAAGGAGATTTCGAGGAAGGCCCTGGAGAAGAGGAGGAAGGATTCCTTACTGGAATAATTACAGGAACTTTGAAGAGAATAATGTACCAATGGGTAGCCAATATGCTAGAGACTTTTTTGATGATAAAAATGAGGGTAGCTGGGATGAACATCAAATCGGAGTAATATCGATACTACCCGCAGAATATGTTAGTGAGTATAAAGAGTACCAAGAACAAAGCAATATCGATCGAGAGGATGATTTCTATTCCGAAGATATGAGGCCAAAAGTGACATGGGTAACACAAGCATCATGCCAAGTACCCCATAGAGATGCTGCTTTTATTGATCCTCCATCTGAGGAGATGAGATTCCATCTAAAGCCCTTATTACTGAATATCGAGATTCAAGGACAAATGGTGAATAGAGTCCTTGTC